TAGGTCCAAAACATGTCCAGCTCAAAACCTAAACAAAATTATCCAAACACAAAAGCCAGCATAAACTGTGAAACCTTAAACCACTGTCAATCCAACCAAAGCCATCAAGCCAAATGGCCTAAACTAGAGAAAAGACCATTCAAAGCATCAACCTGTCAAGCCTATACCAACCATCAAGCCTGAAGCCTGAAGTTCACAGTAGGAGCTCCAAATTGACAAAAACTTATGCATTCTTGCAACCCACGCAAAGCCTCAGAGAAACCCTCATCATAGGCAAATAAACCGGCATTTCAACAGGCAACAAAAGCATACAGAGAGTAAGCCAAAGGGTCAGGGGCAAGAAGAGAAAGAAGGCAAGCATTTCAAAGAATACTCAAGCATACAAAGCACACTCAGAGTATATCAAATATCAAGCATGTTCAGCATACAGTAAAAGCAAGAAGAAGAAAAGAAATGATATCAAAGGGGTTTTCAGCTTAACATCATCAAAACCCAAAGGTAAAGAGTACTGAGTACCAGGAAGCTAGCTCATCACGCATATCTCGCCGCCTTGGCCACCCACAGCGCCTCCAGGCCACCATCATCATCCGTCTCCCCCAAAGGTATGAATCCCTTCCTTTTTCCTTTTCACAGAAACAACAACAATGTTTAAGATCAGAACACAATGAAAAGTAAAAATGCAAGATGTAAAAAGCTCGAAACCCTAACGCGATGGAGATAGAAATTGATACCTTGTAAGCTACCACTTGAATAAGTCCACGGAGAAGAGGAGGTGGCGATGGCGCTTGACGGCCTTGGGCGAAGAGAAAGCTCAGAGGCTCGCTGGAGAAGACAAAGAAGTGATGAAGCAAAGCGAGAATGGCGCCGTTTTCTGTAACCCTAACAATTCCCTAATGACACAAAACTAATGAACCCTAAAAACATTTTGTGTTAAACACTGGGCCTAACCCGTTCAAATGCCTAAGCCCATTACGTACGTACCCCCCCTTTTTTCCTAACCTTAATCATTTCTGTTTGGGCTAAACAAAGGCCCCTAAGGCCCATTCTTTTTTTAGTTAAACACTTTTTTTATTTACCATATGATATTTTACATAACTTATTTTTTAAATAAACCAATTGTTAATATTAACTTTAATTGACAATATTCATCCTTTTATAATTAGGTTTTTATAAATCAATCCATAATTTTCTTTAAGTTGACATTTTTCTTTTCTTAAAAAAAAATACTTTGTACATAAAAATACATTGTTTAAAAACACTTTTTTATTTACTTTATTTAACTTACTTTGATTTGTACATAAATTCTTTTTAAGTTAGTACATTTTCTTTTCTTAAAAAAATAATAATTTGTACATAATCAATAAAATACATTTTTTTTAATACACATAATTTAATTAAAATTTAAAACATTTAATTAAAATATTCTTTTTTGTACATATTAAAAAAATACAAGACTACAAAGATTAATTAAATAAACATTTAATTCTTTTCATTTGAACAAATACAATACTTAATCTTCACATTAAAATTCACATTCTCTTAACTTGTAAATAAATTACATACACATATACACTTACACGTACACTTACACAATACATTTCACATTATACACTTGATACACATACGTTTGCTATTCTTATGGGTTATATTACATTATTTACATTTTATCGCAATTCGATTTGGTTGTAAATTATTGGACACTACATTCCTAAAGTCTCATCCCCATTTGTGAATTTGTACCCCCACTCCCGGATACTATTTGTAATAGCGTAGACTTTAAATTCTTGCAATTTATCGCTTTCAAATTATACCATGGTTAGACCTAGGGTTTGCATGTACATAAAACCGAACGCTAGATAACCTAATATAAGACAAATACATGAAATCAATACACAATCACACTTGCACCCTCTAGGGTAATCCCACATGTTGCCTTCCAAAATGGGCCATGCTTGCACGTCGAGTTTCTTTGGCAAAACAAATTCAAATGATCATAAGTCCCTCGACGACGCTTTCGAAAGTTGCCTAAATGGAATGATCATAGTCCCTTCAAAGCAAATTGCCAAAGACACTTGGCACCATTGCATTCATGGTCTATACGATGACCCGTGCCCGTCCCGTTAAACATCCTAAACGCAAGATTGTCCACCAAATTCAATGATGGAACAAAATTGTTAAAAAAGGGTTGAAAACATAGAGAAAACCTTTGAGTACAATAGGGGTAGACAAAACTCTTAGTTACTTGAGATCAGCTTGCAAAAACACTTGCCTTCTTTCAAAAAACCACACTCCACAAACACTTTCAAACACTCTTCCAAAAACATTTTGAAACATATTTTCGAAAAGATACACACTTTTGTAAAACACTCAAACACGAGTCAAATACATTGGTTGCCTAAAACAAGGCATCTCTTCAAAAACATTTTCAAAACCACACACACACACACCATTTTCAAAGCAATCGAAAATCAAGGCAAGTGATCTAAAAACCAAGTAACTAAGAGCCCATGGATAACCATGGATGAAAAGGGTGCTAATACCTTCCCTTTTCATAATCTACCCCCCGAACCCACGAAATATCTCAAAAGGTTTTTGCTGTGCTTTTTTAACCTTTCCTTTAGGATAAAATAAAAAGTCGGTGGCGACTCTTGCTCAACCGAACAAGTGCGAATACAAACGCAAAACCTCAAGTCAGTTCTCCCACCGGATCACACCCTCCCATCTCACGGGTGAAAACTAGGTAAGGGTAAGGTCGGGTAACCCAGAATCGAGGGTACTCCTGAAAAACTATCACCATATCACCTACGTGAAAATGATAGCCCCTCATTTGTACCTCATCTGAGCGTGGATGACATGACGATAATAGTGAGACCTAAGTCAACTAGCCGTTCATGTTCCACTCTATTCCAAGTGTCCTAGTTCACTCTGGCCTGGGTATTGGGCCTTTTACCTCATAGTAACACCCACCCAATCATGAAAATAGAGCCAACATAGCAATATCACCAATATCGAAAGTAATAAAATGCAATGAAACACATGCACAAATAAACATGTACAAAATGAACAAGCTATAAAGCATAAAAACAAACACCCAAGGAAAAGAAAACAAGAGCTAGGATCGACTCCGGGATGGACCAGCAATAGGTTAATCTTTCCCCAGTGAAGTCGCCAGCTGAAACAACTGGCTGAACAATCAACTGATAATGAAATCAATGAAGTCGCTATCGAGCGTTTTTTATCCCACATGAAGGGATAGGTAAACATCGAGTAAACCTGAGAAGGGAGAATTCACGGTCTTGCAACTGAGAGATCAGGTAAGGAAGTCTGTTACGTGAGCGGAAGGTATTAGCACCCCACACGCCCGTAGTACCCTACGGTATCCACTCTTGTTGTTCTAATCAAAGGGTGTGTTTCAACTCTATATCTAAACTGTACGGGAGATGCATGCAAAATAAAAGAGAAAAGAATGTAGGGAAAATGAAAAGTTGTGCTCGCTCGGGCCCTACCCCAATGCCTACGTATCCCTTTTAAGGAATCAGAGCAGCCGTAGTTCGGCTTATATGTTTTCTTTGGTTTGTATTTTTTATTGAACAGTATTAATTTCGCATTCTGCCGCAACTCGACCTTCGGAGACTTACGCGTCAGCACATAAGTGAATTAACATGCTCTTCTGAAAAAAAAAGTTTGGAGAAAATGTGCCTGGGCGCACAAAAAGTTTGAATTTGTTTGTGTTTTAAATGAACGATATTAATCTCGCCTTCTGCCGTAACTCGACCTTTGGAGACTTACGCGTCAGCACAGAAGTGAATTAGTATGCTCTTTTTGAAAAGTTTTAAAAGAAAGGCCCGAAGGCAAAAAGAGTTTTTGTATTTTTCGGTGTTTTTGATTGTAGGTAACAACTAGTTGACCTCAAGAGAGAGATTTTATCCATTTCTCTACTTATTCATGAAATGAGTATTTGAGACTTGAACCATGCCGAGGCTTAGAATAAGAGAACAATAAGGTCGAGAAGAAACCCGCTTATCATCTCACAGACTTAACGAAGATATGATTCTTGTCAGTAATTTTTTTAAAAGTATTTTGAAGTTTGTAAAAAAAAAAGAAATTTTTGTTTTAAATGCATATGCGAAAAGAAAAAAGAAAAGTCAAGGGGAGACTAGCCTATTTCTAAACCTAATGTTATCATGCGTTGTTAGACCTAAGTCAAGGATGAATGAAAGGGAAACATCTACCTAATGTTAGTATGCATACGGTTTGCAATAAAGCCCCTACTTCTCATGATTTTTAGAAAGTGGTAAAGTACGAAGATGAAGAATAAAATAGTGTTTTGACGATACTGAACGGAGAAGGTCCGTTGCCTCTTCGAAGCCACGCAAGTGATAGGAAAACTCTACAGAAGTTACTCCGCATGAGTGATCAAAAATTAATCTCCCAGCATTCCACATTGCAAAAGTTACATCAATCGTTTTTATCACAAAATCTTAGCTCAAAAAAAGTGACAGTGAAAATGATTATTATACACAAAAATAATAAAAAAAACTTTAATAAAATTCTAAAGAGAATCTAAAGATATTTCCTAAAATATTCTACTATTTTTGTATCATTTTTTTTTCAACAAAAAAAATGGAAAGAAAATTGATGTAGAAATCAAATTCCAAAACATTGGGGGTGCAGAATTTTGGCCCAGGGGTGATGTATAACAAACTGGGAATTTAAGCCCAATTAGTGAAGCCAAGGAGTAGTTTTTGTCAAGTTTCATGCTCAAAAAATTAACGGCCTTCGGCAAGGGAGTGGAATCCGGTGCCAGCTATACCTAGTTCAAACAACACTTTACCTCTTCCAGCATTTTATTATTACCTTTTATTAACATTGAATAAAAAAAAGGAATAACACAAAAAATAAAATAAAAACATTGCGTATTGGGGTTAGGGATTTAGGGTAAATCTTTGTGATGTTTCAACTTCTGCTCCGAAAAGAAAATCAGCCTTCTCTCTTAAAACTCAATGTTCCCGTCTTTCTTCCTCAACTTCGCAGCCGTGCCGCCATCTCTCTCTGCTTCCGTGAACACCGTCTTCTCTTCTTCGTTTTCTTATGCAACACGCGACCGCGGTATTCAACTGATTCTCGCTTCGTCTCAATCTCGCATCACTACGCTTAATTCGTTCGTCTCCTCTCCGATTTTGTTTCAAACAAACAAACACACACAGTAAAAGGCGATGAGAAGAAAACGAATACAAGAACCTTACTTTCCAGATAACGTCCGATGCTTCTTCAAGCCGACGAATCAGGTATGCGATTTCATTTTTATTTTCCTCTTCATCTTCTACTTCGCTTTCTGATTTGTGCGTATCTGTCTGCATGTTATTACTCAATGCGATTTTTTTTTGAATCCTTGTGTGAAGTTGTTGAGGATCATTGATGCGATGAATTCGTTGTTGTTGTGATGTTGCAGAAGCATATCGAAGTTTGTTGAAGAACAATGTAGTAGTTTGAAGAAGATTAATGATGATACGATGAATGTATGAAGATGATGATTAGAGTGAAGCAGGAGATTGGCGAGAATTTCAGAGGGAGAGAGAATTCTTGTGAAGATTTCTTGGTGGTCATGGAGAAGGAAGCAGAGGGGAGATGGTGGAGAAGAAGTCGTTATTATTGAATGATAATTGAAGGAGATGAAGATGAATTCAGAGGGTGAATATGGAAGAGGGTGCCGAGAGTTTTTTTTTGTTACAGGAGGTTAATGCGGTTTACTAAATGCTGATGAACATAGAAAATGATAATGATGCGAAGAAGACGACTTACACAAAAATGAATCAGTCTGAAGCTTGAAGCAATAAAAAAAGGCTCAGCAATTTGAAGAGAAAAATAAAGGTAAGCCTTCAAGCTTTTTCTATGATCTTTTTTTTAGTAATGAATTCTGATCTTCTCCCTGAAAACTGGATCCCCCCTGTTATATAGATTTTCTGTAGAGTTGGTTAGAAGATGGGATTTGGAAATTTTGTTTGTTTGGTTCTAACTGTTTACAGGTTGTTAGGGGTTATTTTAGAGTTTGTTATAGACAGTTAGGGGCTTGTAGAGGCAGTTAGAGAACTGTTAGCATTCTGTTATGGGCGAGAAGGTTAGAGGTTGGTTAAGTTAGTTAGAAGTTAATTTAAGAGTAATTCTGTTAGTAGGTTGTTAGTAAGTTGATTACATCTATTCTTTGTGCTACTACAGGTTATGCAGACTGTTTTGATTTTAGCTTTGCAGCTTTTATTCCAACCGAAGCATGTCGTCGCAAAAGATTTGTTATAAAAGGAATGGCGAGATGGATTTGATAAAGGTTAGGTACTTACCTTTTAACTCAGTTATGGACAGTTAGTAGTTTTAGTTATAAAATCATGTTCTGAAAGTTAGGATCAGCTTGTATTGGTTTGAAATTAGGCTCATCATAAATCCTGTTAGCAATGCTGTTTTGAATTCAGAGGAGTCAGGAATGAGCTAAGTTTGTTAATGCAGGGTAGTTATGGTCTGGTATAAGGTTTGGTTGGGTGGAAATTCTGGTATATAGCCTGGTTTTGGATGGTCATGAACTGCTAAATTCTAAACATGCAGGATTTATCTCGGCAACTGTTTTAGCATAGTGTCGATGGCATCTTCATGATTCTTCTTTTCTGAACTGGTTTTGTTTGCAAGTTGGTAAACTATTTTTCTGATTGAACTTATGGACTGCTTATGTTTTGTAAAGTGCAGGGTCGAAAAACCTTGGAGCCAGGACATGAAACCTATCGCAACAGCAATTTTGTGCAGGGTTGAATCAAAGTTTGACAAAGAGTTTGGAGGTTGCAAAAATGGCATCATGAAGTCATAACATGGAAAATAATGGAGCTAAAGTTTAGGCAAGATAGATTTAGTGTAGCTTTGTGTAATTTACAAATTTTTTGTAGTTCTTTTGGAATGTAATATGAATTTGTAAATTTAAAATGAATCGCTTAGAAACATTTACATGATATGATGCCTAAAAAATGGTTGAATGAACATGAATTTTCGAGTGAATATTGAACGATGAATATTGAGATATTGAATTTGAATGACGTAAATGAAGGTTTGGAGTGTATTTGGATTGATTTTGAACGATATTTGAATGACACTGAAAGTGACAACTTGAACCAAAATAACCACTTGAATGGAATTATAATGAATGACTATGCCTTGCCATTTTTATCTTGTCTTTTGCATTCCAAGAAACCCTTATGACTAAGGTCTCCAAACTCGCATGAATCAAATTCTCGAAAACAAACCAACGCTTAGATTTCTTTAATACCATTTGATTGTCCTCTAAACACTTCACTTCATGACTCAGTGAACGAATTTCAACCAACTTGCATATTCAATGAACCAGTCCTGAACTCAATATATGACACAACATTCAATCGAATCAATAATATTCCTGCATGAACTCAATCAAGAAAACTCTCTCCATGTCGACTTTGCCCAAAATCAAAGCCTTTATTCATATTCTCCTGACTCAATTAATGCTCTCTAGCATCATATTTTGTATTGTGCTTCAACTTTTGGAATTCAAGTCACAAACATGTCCACTTGAAAACGTAAGGCTAAAATCCTTAATAAATTCCCTTGAAGATGATACTTCCTGACGCACAATATAAGGCTTTCTGAGAAAGTCCCTTGATAAGAACAAACTCTAATCTCATGATCTTTGATGAAAAACTCGATTGGAACACAATTGCCAAAAACTGGCTTTGATCACATATGGGGAAATAAACCCTGATAGCCTCGCGGCTTGATGAAGAAAGATATCCTCAACGACCAAAGTCACAACCCTAATTCCACAGCTCACTACCTGAATAAGAAATCAATCTTTATTGGATACGAACGCCTTAACCATTGCGAAACCCTAATATCGCATAACCACTGAACTTTGAACCTCAAAGCTATATTGAATGAAATGTATGCCATGTTAGTGACCTAATGGAATAGATGCAGATGAATGCAATAGTCTAAGCCAAAATAAAAGAAATTAGGAGGGCAAATTTTAGGGTGCAACAAATATCAACAAAGTAGCGTGGGTCAACATATACTGTCTCAGTCGGTGAGCAGTCCATGCCAAAGTGTAACAAGTTTTCTCGATCAATGAGTATCTTGTTTCACAGTTGGTAAACTTTTTTCTAAGGTAGTATATTGCATGCTCTTTTCGACCAGACTCGTCATGCTTCCCCAGCACACACCCCATTGAATTATCTAACACTGTTAAGTACATTATCAAAGGTCTTACTTCAATTGGAGGCATCTGAATTGGTGGTTCTTAAAGGTATTCCTTGATTCTCTCGAAGGCAATCTGGCATTCGTCATTCCACTTTACCACTTGATCTTTCTTCAAGAGTTTGAAGATTGGCTCACAAGTAGCAGTTAAATGGGAAATGAACCTGGCAATGTAATTTAGGCGTCCTAAGAAGCCTCTGACCTCCTTCTCAGTGCGAGGAGCCGACATCTCTTGTATAGCCTTCACCTTTGCCGAGTCTACCTGAATACCTTTGTCACTGACAATGAAACCTAGCAGTTTGCCAGACCTTACTCTGAAGGTGCACTTATTCAGATTCAACCTCAGCTTATACGTCTTCAACCTATCAAACAACTTTTGTAGATGATCAAGGTGCTCTTCCTCAGTTTGAGACCTGGATATCATGTCATCAACATATACCTCTATTTCATGGTGAATAATGTCATGGAATAAAGCCACCATGGCTCGTTGATAGGTTGCCCCATCGTTCTTCAACCCAAACGACATTACTTTGTAGCAGAAAGTGCCCCATTGTGTCACGAAGGTTGTCTTCTCCATGTCTTCAGGTGCCATCTTGATCTGATTGTAACCAGAGAAACCATCCATGAAGGAAAAGACCTTGTGCTGCGCAGTGTTGTCAACCAGAATGTAATTGTGGGGAAGCGAAAAGTCGTCCTTGGGGCTTGCCCTATTCAAATCTTGGTAGTCCACACACATTCGTACCTTTCCGTCCTTTTTAGGCACCGAGACTATGTTAGAAACCAATTGGGGATAAGAGGTGACAACCAGGAATCCAGCGTTGAACTGTTTCATAACCTCTGCTTTGATCTTCTCTGACATTTCAGGGTGCCTGCAGCGGACCTTTTGCTTTACCGGGGGGCAATCCTCTTTAGTTGGTAGACGATGAACCACAATATCAGTGTCTAGTCCGGGCATGTCTTCATGTGACCAGGCAAAGATCTCGACATAATCATGCAACATATGTATCCCGCTGTTTGACATAAAGCCTCATATTTGCACCAATCTTGACTTCTTTTTTGTCTTCTTCTGTGCCCAAATTCACTATCTCAACTGGCTCTTCATGGGGCTGTATGGCCCTTTCTTCCTGTTGTGATAGTCTAACAAGTTCTCCTGGTACCTCACAATCTTCCTCACATTCGTCGTCGGCATGGTTGATTGGATTTTCAAAGTCATGACCAGCAATAGCATAACTGTTATCAATGGGATTTGGAGTGGATATGGATATGCAGTTTGATACGTGAGTGTGTGTAAGAGCATATCTGTATAGACAAATTAAAAAGAAAAGAAAAAAAACAGAGAGTGCAAAATTTGTATGCATAAACGTCCAATGCTTTATAAATGCCATATGAAATTGAATTATGATAGCCTTCACAAATAAACCATTGTGCCCCTGGTAAGACACAAGGTTTGAATGTTTCAATTGTTCAAATATTACATTTCCTTAAAACAAAAAGACAAATTACTCTTGAATAAAAGAGATGGGAACAAAATCTTTAGTCTCCCAATTACTGAGTCCACCACTGATGGTTGGGAAGATCCATTTGTCCAGGTCATAGTTACCGTTAGCATCTTCTGTGGTAGAGACAACGTCAATAGCATTGATTACCAAGCCATATTTGGGCATAGGTGCAGTTATAACATTACGAGTCTCAGGGGGATCGAATTCAATCTCCTTTGCCTCGATCAGATCCTGCACCTTATTTTTCAAAGCCCAACAGTTGTTGGTATCATGGCCTGGACTTTCCGAATGGTAAGCACAACGAGCCTTAGGGTTGTAGTGAGGAGAGGCAATGTTGGGATTCTTCGGGGCTTCCTTCAAAGTTATCAGATTGGTCTTCAATAACTATGGCAAGATTTGCGACAGAGTTAAGTTTATCCAGGTAAACTGTCTTACTGGCCTTTCTATTTTTGGTTGATTACTCCTTTGTTGGGTAGGTTCAGACTTAGAGATCATGACAACCCCTGCCGCTGGATGGCGCTCAGTTCTGTCCTGATTTATTTGATGGTACACAACACTAACCTCCTTCTTCCCAGCGAATGGCTTCCTTACGGAACTGG